GGTAACCGAGCGCTGTGTGTGTACGTGTGTATATGTGCGTGTGGACTGGAGACGGAAGTGTTTAATATAAACACATTTACACAGCCTGACTTCGATTGGGATCTCGCCACTTGACTTCCATAGGTGCAACTCGAAGGTAATGCAATAAGCAATTCCTCCGCCTTCGAAACACCTGGGACAAGTCCATCAGCACAACGCTGTCAAGCTGATCCCTCACCGTCTCCCCATTTCCTGTATGCATCTGATAATAATCGCCCGAGTACTAACTAGCACCTTCTCTTGGCTTTCGAACACCCCATGGAAAGTGGATCAGGGAGATGGGAAAGGAAAGTGGGACAGAGGTGGGAGGGAGGAGAGCTGCAGGCAGGCTATTCAATCTCTCAAGACAAAACCTTCTGCAAAAACAAGGTTCGCAGTATAAGCCTGCATAAGTGGGAAAACACAGTAGAATACAAAGATTACTTGAACGGAGAAGATGTTAATTGCAGTTCTTTCACCCCTTCCTTAATGTATTCACAAACTCATACTGCTGTCGTGTAAATTTTGTGGAAGCAAATGCACATTAAACCATGCTTTGCTGTAGGACAGCATTTCGCATGTGTACTCTGATTTTCAAGAATGTGGCAGATGGAGGAAGAAATTAGGTGGCACATAAGGTGGGTGTTGCGGAAATAAAGTGTGTTGGACAGATGTGGCCAATGGGAGGGCAGTCCTTGCCATCGGCATTATGGAGGATTATGGAGGAGTAGGAGGTGGAGGAGGAGGTTGTGTTGGCTAAATTTAACCGGAAGATGGAAGCCACTGGATTATTTTGAAGGACTTTACTATGTTTGCGAAGCCTGTGTGTTGGGTGTGGTGTGAGCTTTAAGTGGAGTGAAAAATTTGGGGATTAGGGCACGAAGAAAGCGACAACACAATGGTTAAATAGTTGCCAGGTTAGTGGGGAGGCAATTTGTCACGTTCTGGAGAAATTGTGCACACACACACACACACACACACACAAACAATGGGAAAGAGAGACGTCGTCGCTCGTGTGTTGTTTTGCTGCTCCTCACCACACTATCCAACTGTCAACGTGCTTTACGTGTTTGCGTCATTGTGGAAGGTGTTTGTGGACGTTTTTTAAGAAAAATTATCCATTTTTAAGAGATTGGTGATTTGTAGATAACGGCAAAGGAAAGTAATCTGGAGTTTCATTAAAGTTACTGAATATTTCTGAGTTATTTTTGATTTCATGGAGCACTCGATTCGAAGAGACAATTTTTATGAACGAATAAAACTGAGAAACCACTAAAATGCTGCAGCGCACTAGTCTTGCTTGAAGACGTAAGGCGTCAGGGAACTATGGCAGAAAATGTTTTGCTGACGTACAGGAGGCCTGCGGAGCTACTGGCATGGCCGTGAGGCCATGTTGGCGAGTGGAAGCACACTGGTGGGTGACCCAATTGTCCGCGTAACCAAAACGCAAGGTTAAACAGACTAGCCAAACACTACATAGTGGCCCTCTCTTTTTCGCGTCGTCTTCGGTGTGCCCCTTTCTTAACCCCCACGTCGGCCATCACAACGTGATCGGTGTTGTGCGAAAGACACCCGTGAATCAAAACTCTTCAGTAATCAAATTTGGGTGCAACTGAAACGCTGTCTGACTGCAGCGTCACTGATTTCTCTTGGCATTTCCACTAGACCTGGAGTTTCGTCCTGTTTGGCAACATTATTAGGAGAAGTGGGAATGCATTGACCACCACGTACGTTCAAGACTATCCTTAGGGACACTGACCTAGAAGCGCTGTCAGCTAATAAATTTGATGGCTACGATAGTCTCGTAGAGGCAAAGTTTTGTGTCTATTCCTCCTTCCCGCTTTCTTCTAACTTCAGTGCTGGCCAGCGGTTAGTTATCTACCTGGGTTCTGTCCAGTCAGTGAAGCGGTGGAGGTATTGGTGCTCACTTTATTGACACCTTCATAGACATGCCTTGGACAACTCCGTAACGGACTTTCCAGATGGTTCACAGCTGACGTCGATTCAGTTCTTAACACCATTCTTGCAGAATATGTGACTAGGGCAGTTGACGTAGGTGGACGTCATTTCGACCCCTCTGTTAGGGTTCATCACAGGCTCTTCCATCTGCAGCATATGCTTTTCCATCACAATGAGTATCAGCACTTGGTAATGGAGAAAAGGCTTGTCGTTCCTCAGGATAGAGTTTACTTGCTGCCGCTGCTGCCAATGCTGAAAACGTGCGAAGTTATAATACCATGGGAAGAAATTTTATTACTAACATACAGGACGACTGTAAGGCTACCCGCATAACCCGGAGTTCATGCTGGAGAGGGGAACTACAGTGGCCTAGCCTTACCTGCCCGCATAACCAAAACGCGAATTTTAACAACCCATCCAAGCATTACATTACAATGACTCAATTTATGGTCAGGTGATATTAATGCGGAGCAGGCCAGTGAGGTTGAGAAAAAGACACTCCCACCAGTATTCATCCAATTTTATAGAAAATTAAACAAATATAGCTGCTTATGCGTGGATTTCGAGGGAGTTTTTTGGCTATGTAGGAATATCTAGGGCCCTGATTAATTCATAGTTGCGATCTCGTGTTCATCAAGTTAACAAAAGACTTTTTATAGCTGGTAGCCTCGCCATTCGGCACGCCTGCAATACATACTCCTCCATAGTATGCCTGGTCACCTAGACTTTGGAACAGACGCACGATGCAGCACAAAATGGGCAATGTGTATTCTGCCACAGTATTAGGAATTCTTGTGACTTCAGGTATGACCCGGGGCCCTACACTGTAAGCCCTGAATTGCGAATGTGCCGTATGCTTGGCGTTAATGATGGTTTAAACAATCTATTTACGAACAATATGGATTGTATTGTAATGCACTGGATGTCTGTTTAACTGTCGGCATTTGTAAAGAACTACTGTGCCTTGTCTATTGTACCTCGCCGGATGGGCTGTATGTCGAATATGTATACTCTATCCGAGTACAATACCTTTTTTTGTTTTTAGGAAAGTCTTGAGGTGCTACAATACGATTTGCGATGAACTAAATGAGTACACTAGCTAATTCGCATTTAGCAGGAAGTCATTTCACACTAATCGCTGTTGGGTCTATAGTACAAAGTTCAATGAGTCAGGAGCATAAGAGGCGTTTGATTTTACATAAAATATTCAAATATATGTGAATAAGTCATGATTAAAAGCTAAACCCTTTTGCAGGCATAAAAGTGAATAAATTTTTTAAATAGGCATATGCTAATGCTACATTTTGTCCTAGAAATCATTCCACCAATTAGAAGCCGGATGCATTTAACCTGTGGTTCTAGTGCTTTAGGGTTTGTTCTAGTTCGTCATGCTGGTATTTTTATGCCAAATTAATTCTTTGCTAATTAATCTGACGCTTGCACAGTTTATTTGGTGTAGTTTGAAGTTAGTGAATCTTGCTCTTTATGTAGTAATTCTTTTATGGCTGCTTATGGATTGCAACCTAGCATTGAGTGTTTACTATGGTCCAGTAATTCATGCATAACTTGGTTAAGTTATTATGGTAAGAAAATGTGAATACTTTTGTCTTAAGGCGTTTTTTAGCCGTTCGGTCAAGTCTCTTTCTGTTGGCATTGTGTGTCTTATTGATATCGTGGTGTTTTCATTGTCGACATCCTATTACACCTCGGGGATTTTTCATAATCAACATCTGGATTTCTTTTCAGCTCCAAGTAAAATGAATATTTGCTCAAAACGACATTGTCCTGGCATACCTGACCTTTCCGAATGTTTTTCAGTTGAGGTACACTTCAATACCTCCATGTTTGCTAATATCACGCAAAAGACTTAAAATCTCCTTGCTTTCATTATCGTAGGTGGATGGACCATCACTTCTCTATGAATTGCGTTTTAAGCCGAAGTCATCGGATTCCGAACAGTAAGTATTCTTTCGAATTTTTATTTTTGAAATTAGACGTGATGTCAAAGTCACACTGGATGGAAGTGAGTCATTCCAGGTAATCTTTAGTTTACAACTCAGATTAAATACTAATAAGTGCATGTTTACTGGCATTCCATAACGACTTTTTAGTTGGTGTCAAAACTTTGTCATTTGCTCTCCACTTCTCAGAAGCATCGCTTACTGGAAGACATGTCTGTGAGTGATTCACTAAAAACGTTACTTATTGTGGAAATTTCAATTAATTATCAGTTACATCTAGAATCTCATTTGATTTTCATGGCTATACTGATTACATAATGAGTTACGAAGAATGTGCCGTCATCCGTGATTACAATTGTGATAATTGATATTTAGGAAAATTTGCGGTTGAATCACTTCGAAAGTCTACGACTGGCATCACGACTTCATTCAGATTGTAAAAAAGAAGACTGCCATGACTTTGTTAAGTGGCTTCCACTGGAACTTGTTCTCCGGATCTTCAGCTATCTCCGTCCTGGTAAGGCTTATAACCTATTTTTTTAAATTCACTCAACCCTTTCTTTTCAGAAATGGTGTTTACTTCAAATTATGCTGTTGCTAATCAATTTGAACCATCATAATCTCCTCCAGCATTTACTAAAAGAGTTAAAATAGACAATTAGACTGAAGTATATCCTCAAAATCATTTGTCGCAGCATTGTGAATAACCACCAACCAAACAAGTGTTTTATTCGTTGATTGATGTTCGAACAGTTGTGGGCACTGTATCCTGTTGGATCGCATACGACGCAAATCGCATTCTCGAGGCATTTTTTGGTTACGTTGCGTAAAATACGTGCTCAATCTGTTTATGATTTCCTAAAAATGGCTTCGGATGACACATGAAATACTAATTATCACAGTAGTGACAACCACGCACAAGATCTTCCAATTCCCAACTTCATTCCAAATGAGCTGGTGAAATCGAAGGTGACACCTGGATACAGTTTCTTTGAAATTTGGGAGATTATCAACGATTATGGGTGCTATTCATATCAAAGGATGAATTGTGTCTCTTCAGACATAAAACCGTCAATTGATGGTTTTTTGTTCTGCATGGAATTTTTAACGACAATTGTTCAAACCATTTTGGTATACTCAAGCATTTCCTGGTAAAATATTGCTTTAATCAACGCAATTTTCCCAAACGATTAATATTTAGTCAAAAACGACGTCCCGTCTCGTACATATTGCAATGTTATTGCCAAAATTTCATCCTATCCCAGTGTTTTTATAAAAGAAAGCTGAAGTTGTGGTGATTTAACGTTGTCTCTAGACTTTGTGGACAGTGGCCATCGATTTACGATGTCCCCTAATGTTCACCTATTTCCGTTTTACTCCGTATAAGATAAGCTTACGTGAAAGCTGTGGGTGAAACGGAAGTTAGGTTGTATTTTAAAAGATGTTTTTTGATCTTCTTATGGTCAACTTGGTGTTTTCTGAAATGTCTCACGTTTCGTGCCAAATAATTCACGGTCTTTTGGAAAACTGTTTAATCAACACCTATTTATCACAAAATTACCTTCCGCAGGTCATATTATCTCTCCCTCTGTGCCTTTAAACTGGCCTTTAAAAGGCGTGAATGTTTGATCCTTTGTTTCGACCAAATCCTATGTATGTGTGTCTCAGCTAGCGTCGGCAGGTGATTGAAGGAACCAAAGTTTACAAGTAGTCCATTTTATGGAAGTGAGGGTGGGCTGTAAGGCTATAAATATGCAGTTGCTGGGGCCGTGACACGTTGAACTGAAAGTGCAAGCCTTAGACAATTGTTGACTCGCCAAGTTTTTAAAATTAGGCTTTAGTTGAGCAGCACCAATAAATAAACTACTTGCGGCTTGATCTGGATTTTTCATTTTTTTAATTGGGATATGTTTGCCAAAAAGTCACTTTATTCTCGTTGAAGTGTGTGTGAATTACGAGCTGGAAGCCCTAATCTTGTAGGTCACCAAATAACTGTTGGTGACACCTTTTGAGATGACATCGAAGTATGGCATGCAATTAAGTGGTGATGTGCTTTGTCTCCATTTTCCGCTGTCCTTAAATTACTTTTCGTATTCATACAATCCGCAATTTATTATTAGTTAAAATCGTACAAGATTTCAATCTATATTTTTATTCCTACAATGTAAATTCGCCCATTCCGATGTGTCAATTCTAAAAGCATACATCCAACCTGCTACTGAAGTTGTGAGATCAGTAGTATGTAACACCTATGTACTCTATACGCCTTCACTGTGATCTTCGTTTTTCAATTTGCAGTTTGTAACATTGAAAAATGGTTTCTGTAAAATGCAATTTAGTGTTCTGCTGTTTCGCTCTTTTCTGTTTGGATTTTCATGGTTAATTGTTCCTAAAAATTTGAAAACCTTTTTTACTAATTTTTGCCTTCTAGCAGAACATGTGCTAGGATCGCTTTGGGCGATGGCAAATTATCTTTTTCCATGCGTTAGCAAATTTGTAAGTGAGATTTGAATCCGCTACTGAATTCGGGTAAGCATCAGTAAATAAAGACCGCTCAACTTCTCTATTCAATTGCTGGGTTGTAAGAATCCTTATCAGCCGTCGAAACACTCTCCACCGATCAGTTACCCACTAATTACTAGCACTCCACTGCACCATTAAGATATTTTGTCCTGTCGTGCACCCAGAGTGCCTAATGCGCGCATCTCAGGTCAACCGCGCCTGGAACCGGGCCACGCACCATCCCCGCCTCTTTCAACGCCTCTGCTGCAGTCCTGAGTGGTCGCTACCCAATCTGGACGCAGATTTCCCACCTCCCCTGGAGTGTCGCAATGCGAATTTCTTCTTCCCTAATCTACCCTCCTCCACCGACACCACCACTACCACTGATGTCTCCTCCCCCTCCGATGGAGTGGATGTGCGTTGTTTGTCTCAATGGATAGCTGTGATTAATGTGATGTGTTGATTTCGAAATAAGTCCACTTGCATTTCCTTTTCAGTGGTTTCAAAAATTTAAATGGCGCTATCAGGTTCGCAAAAATTGGGAGCAAGGGAAACATCGCATTCGACGATTTGTTGGACATACAGGGGGCAAGTGGAGTCATTTCCTTTGTTATTTATTTAAACCATCATTCAGTGTTGTGCTTTAGCAATTGAATCACTTCTGAAGCCGTTTTAAGGTATGGGGATTTGGAAAGGGATGGGAAGACTAGCACTAGGGGCTTCTTATTATCGGAGTAGAAAATGCCGAGTCACAACATCTATAGCTAAACAAGTATTGTTGCGTGGTCCTCATCTTGTCTCGAGTGTTGTCCTTGGGGTTCTTCCTGATCACCCTTCTGCGTGGACCACCATAAGAGTACTTGAGTCAATTACAATTAAGTGCTGTGTGGAAACGAAAGACGGGTAATTGTATTTAAGAACGGAGAGAATACTCCCATACTTGGTAACTTTGGCAAATCCCACTTTTTGCGTTTACTGCAAACTGCGTGGGACAAACTGGCAATGGTTCGCTTAAAATTAACTGATTTTATAATGCTAGTGCAACCTAAATGTCAGCCGCTTTTTGGGGAACTTTTGGTTGAAACTGAAACTATTCCACAGTTGCGGTGATTATTTGCAATAATTTACCTAAGTTAAGAGGAAGAATCTTCAAGTTAATAAATAGTTTCAGTTTTGCTCTAGCTAATCGTGATTTGTTCACTAGTCATGGCTTTACTGGTCCGGCACATTTCTCGATGTTTCTAACTGCTCTCTGTGCTTCCGCATTGGTTCTTTCAAAGGCCTAAGATGGTATCACAGTATCTATACAAGATGTTTTGTGACACCTTTTCGCAATATTAACCCATTTTTCCCTCTTGAGCTCAACCCACAACTTCATACGTGGTATCCTCTCCTCCCCCCACAGCCGTGCATTGCTTAGCTTACGACGCCTATCGCATCGTCAGTGGTTCCGCTGACTCCACCATCTGTGTGTGGAAAGTGTGCTCAAACGCCAACTGGCTGGCACAGACGCTGCGGGGTCACTCAGGTGCGGTGCGGTGTTTGGAGCTGCTGCCCCTGCCTCCTGCTCTCGCCTCTCCTACTTCTCCTGCCGTCACTCCTCTTTCTCCGAGTGTGTGGGAGCCACCGGAGGCGTTACTCATCTCGGGCTCGGTGGATACGAGTCTCAAACTGTGGCGTCTCTCGTCCACTTTTGAGTGGTCGAGGATTACATGCATTGGCACGTTACAGGGACACTTTGACACGGTGCGGTGCGTCCAGGTAATTCCCTGTTACTTTTCTCGTCGGAATTTTTGTGTTAGTAATTCGCGGCTCCGTTCAAAGCTTGGTCAGCGAGAGTTCTTTTTTTTCAAAATGCGTGGAGAGATGGATGTCTTGGAATCAATTTGATGAGATTAGGAAATACGTCATTCCTCATTTTCTTGTATCAAAAATGTTTTTGTATTGACACGTTTTGATGAGTTGGGTTATTGTTTTAATCTAAGAGTTGAAGGCTTATTAAGTTCAGTTAGCCATACCATCTCTTGAAGGTGCGTGCACACTTCTGCTATATTGCTCCCTCCCTCGTTCCTAGCGCTCTTCGTGGTTGCTCTTCCGTCTAGGCCGTGATGGGTCCTTGTGTGAATTGCAGCTAACCACGAAACAGGATTGAAGACCCTATTTGCTAAAATTACCTATTTTAAATACTACCTGTTACCGATGGTATGTGCTGTACTCCTTGTCGACAATTCTGAATGTCGCGCTTTGTGCATTCGGCGAAAGAATCAAGTCGAGTTTGACGAAGTTTCATGGTCAGCATTTGACCAAACACACCATCTTACTCTAAAGTAAATGTAGTAGGCCTATTTAGCAAGTGATCAAGATTCGTTGAAGCTTCAACCCACTGCATCCCCAGTTACCGTAAAAAATTCGAAGTCTAGGAGTATTTGTTTTAATCTTCCTACACTGATTCTCCATAAATTCAGTCATTGTCTTACTAACAATGAGATTTGGAAAGCATGAAGCAAGACCCAAATTATTCTTCAGATTGATCTCATGCACCTTTCGACTTCACAAATGTGGTGCACCGAGTCTTTCCTGACGTCGTAATAGGCCATGACGACAGTGAAGAAGGTGTGTTAGCGCCAAGAAGAACTGGGAAGCCATATACTTGGCCAAAGGTCCATGCTGTTTAGTGAAGCTGGCTTTGGATGCTGACGATCCCGTGAGGGCAAATGTGCTGTTAAACAGAGGGTCAAATCAATGTGCGTGATTGCTGGATGGCCATGCACGGGTTTGTGGACCACCCTTAAATTCATTTGAGTGGGGTATCCAGTGAAACGTAGGATCTCTTCATAAGGTACCAGTACTGACATCCGGATTAAGGCTTTCTAAATCATTCCATATTATTTTCTTTCGGGCTCCTTTTGAGCACACAAGATTCGACATTTAAACTCTGTGACTGGAGAACCGAGGGTGTATTAGGTGATTCGACAAGTTTTGTGGTTTTCAGTACACTTTGCTGAAATGATTAGTAGAAACGTGCAGGGAGGGGACTTGTGAAACACACTGCTTTGCTTGTTAGCATTAGAGAGCCTAGACATTCGTCTTCACTGTACTCTGTATTACTTTAAATCTCCTCGCTTCAATGAAGGTTGGTCACGTTGACCTAATGCGTGTAATTCGAGGTTGTCTGTTCCATGCATCCAGTTGCATTTGGATCCAAGGCCGCAGAAATCTCCCTCCTAATGTGTGTAGCATTCGGACAAGGTGTGTTAGCACACTGCACCACTCAGAGGTGGTGTGAATAAACAACTTGAGTGGTTCTGGTGATAAAATTGCCATTGAATTCTTTTTTAAAGAATCAGAGCCCTATTTGAACAGGAAACTTTCGTTTCTGCTTGAAAATAAGAGATGATTGAATAAATTCACAGAATATCCCAAATAGCAAACTTTTTGAATTATTTTACTATTAAATGAAACGCCATTGCGATATGCGCGCTTCTCAATTGAGTCACAAGCTGACTAAAAATTTCTCTTTATAAGACTGCTTTGTTTTCAAAGGTCAGAAACCTACTTCTAACTTCCTGTCTCAGCATCATTTCCCAACTGCCTAGTCTAGTCTCCCACTGGCGAGTGGTCTTTACTACGCCCACGCAGTTGGGATTTGGACACTGCGTAAATTTGACGGTACTACTGCTTCATCTGACCTAGTGAGTTCGCCGGTTCATCTTTTCTTAAACAGAGACTGAATTGATGGAGTACGTGGGGTGTTGCAATAAGGCGGTTGCCTATAAATAGTTGCTGAAATAAAATACAAGGTGTTAAAATTTTCCACTTATCGCCTTGTGCATTGTGACTGTTCCATCCTTGCCGCGTAAAAATAGATTGTTGTGAAGCTCCTTGGGTGGTGTGGTGGAATGCGATATGACGTCGTCTACTGCGATTTCTAACAATTGACTATTGTCAGCAGTTGTTAATCAGGTTTCCTACCTTTATTCCTGTTTCGCATTTGGCATTTACTGCGTTACAAAGAGCATGCCATGAACTTGGCTTTCAAAGTTCCAACATGAATTTGTGTTGTCGGATATTCGTTGTGAGCCTTTTCCATTGCATTCTAGGCTCCTCTTGAGGACTCCTTTACCTCTCCACTACGGTCGTAAAATAATCCTCTTTGTATGCTTGTTTTGAAGCTTTTAGCACCTGCCAGGTGAAAGAACATGGTCCACCTGATCCCCATGAGAGGCCTCATGAATTGCGAGATCGCATGTTTCACACAAAATGTGGAATAATAGGTGATACGTCTGTGAAAAGTCCACTTTTTTACCAGTCTCAACCCTTAATTTTGTGGCGCGCTGCAAACTCAGAGGTGAGGCCTTGACCTGTTTTCTGCTTCCTTGTTAGTTCGTTAGAATCCTTATTGCACAAAGTTAAAAATTTCTGCTTTCGTGGAGTAGATGACTTCGCTTTACTACTGCTATCGCCTGTTCGTTACTCAGGTGGACCATTTTTACTATATCGTCAATGAAATTACCAGGTTACTTGCTTCACTTCTCTTTTTCAAAAGCACTTTGATTTAGATTTCACTCACGACATGCGTCCGTCTAAAGCTAATACTATAAAAGGCGGTACGTATCCATGGCGCTTTCAGAAACATTGGCAGAGGGGTGTGAATGATGAAGTGAGGATCTATCGTCATCCCATCCCATCGCATTTTAAAGTGCATACCTTCCTACAGAGTGGCCTTGGAGAACCGCGGACTGTGAGGCGTTTGGGTTGTGCTGCATAGGAATGAGAATGGGAACATGGGATTCTTCCCACTGACTGACTAACCGACTGGTCCTTACTACCCAAATTGCTTCCAAGGAAAAAGCTGTTGTTGGTGTTGTACGAGTTTTAAAGGCATCAAGTTGTGTGGAAATCTCAGTCACATTTATTTTGCCTTCAGCAAGTGAACAACTCAACTCTGTTCTTTTCTGGGCACGAAGCGGTTTGCGTCTCAGAAGCTTGAAGTGGGTAGTGAGCTGACTGTTTGGTCATGGTCAATGATATGTTCGTTCACTTGGCTTTACAATACGAAAGCCACCACCACCACCACCACAATTTGGTCATTCATCAGTAAATTCATTGTAGTTGTTTATTCCAATCACTTCTGGGTAGTATGGTGTGCCACCACACCTTATCAAAATGCTTTATGCTCTTGTGGACAGGCTACTGCAAGAGCAGCTCCTGTCTGTATGCATAAAGCAGACAAACTGAAATCGCACGTATTAGGTTAAAGTGACATTTTGTGATAAATGCTGGGAGGTTCAAAGTATTCATGCGAAATTGGTACAGAGTACAGTGAAGGGTATTGAAGGACTGACAAATGTCTAGGCTCTCTAACCCTAGTAAACAAAACAGCGAAGTTTTACAATTTTCCTACCTACGAGTTGCATGCAGACATTTCAGTGAGGCATGTTGATAACACCGGGAACTTGTTGAATCACCTGATACAATCTTGGGTGTCCAGCCATTGCTATGACGAATATTAAACGAGGCCATCTAGAAATTTAAAATCGGAATGGTGGCAGACGTGTCTTTTTATTCTTTTGTTTGACGGTGTATTTATCTACACGAGGATCTTCAGTCTCTGTGATTAGAGCTCCACCGAATGGCGTAGGGACTCTCTGTCAAGTCCACAGCTTCGCAGCCCTTCTTGACACCAACACTAGTTTTCCATTACCGGGATAATTTATTACGACTTCAGGGAAGACTTGGTACACAATATCACTGAAGTCGGCGAGTGGATCGGATCTAAGCCAAGACTACTTAAGAAAACACTTAAACGAATTTCCAGTCGATTAATGCGAAACCATCTCTCGTTATTCTGCTTTCACCATAAATGTTCTAATTTAGTTGTGTGGAATTTCTCACTTTATGTGACGGTGTTCATGAGTGCGCGATGTGGTGATGCGACTTGAGGCTCACAGTTGCCATATATGGAGTCTTTAAAATGTTGGTCTATGTTTATAACTGATTAAGCTGTCGCATCGAGGTTCGCTGGTGTGGCAATGCCACCTTTTGCTGACGTGTCAGTGGTTTCACGCAAAAGATACCCATAGAAGGATTAAAATAACAGTCGCTGACAATTATGAGCTTGCTAAACGTTAAGCTACTTTTTCCTTTTTACTTCATAGGCTGATTCGACGAAGGCCATCAGTGGCTCCTACGACTGCACAATTCGACTGTGGGACCTAGCTTCTAGTAGTCAAAAGGCGATTTTTCGGTAAGACTTCCGTCAGCAGTTTTTTATTTAACGCATCTTCTTTTTTTGGCGCAACTACCTGTGATTTGTTACAATGGTATTTTAGTTTTCGTATTCATTGTGATGTACACGACTTTATCCAATCTGTTGGCTGAGGAAAAGGGCAGAATGAACTTCTCATCTGTTCAAAAACCACTGTCATTGCGTTGAAATAGCATGTTGCTGTGAAAATGAAGTTGGCCTTTCTTGACAGGAATCGTTACATCCAATTCGCGGAGGGTAATCGGACGTGTTGTTCCAACGCCCTCATGTTCGTGAAAATTGTGAAGTTACGTTTATGAAAAGGGAGAAGTGATATGTTCGCATACCCACTCTCAAAACGCTCAAAACTTCTTTACACGGAATTATGTTGAAGAGCATTTTCAATTGTGTCAAGAACTGTGTTTGCGTTTCGGACACGGTTGTAGCCCTCCGCCCACTCTTCGCTGAAGCTGTAGTAAACCGTAGCTGTATGGAAGATGCATTAGTGATGCGCGGTAGGATTGGTAGCATTTTGGACGCAGGCGGAAATCCATGGTGCTCGGCAAAAGTCCTGATTGCGTAGGCTAGCGAGTTCACAATACAGTGTGTTTCAAGAGTGTTTTTTTTAAAATTGAAGAAGTCGTCTTTTGACTCATGACTGGTATCCTTTGCAATGAGAATTGTAATGGGATCTACTTGTTTTCACAAATCAGTAGCATGATTGGGCAGTAAATGATAGAGGAAGGTTCTGTGGGATCCTTTTGCAGACAAGACACCTATCCATAGTTTTGGCGACTCCGTAGTTATTTGAAAGAATTGGCAGTGTGTGCATTATTCCTTCTTGGTTTTTTTAGGGGGCACACAGCCGGTGTTGTCTGCCTCACCTATGACGATTCTCTCCTCTACTCCGGTTCTCTCGACAACACCGTTCGAGTGAGTTTAGACCATATCCTTTTGGCCAAATCGCCAGCTTTATTTACAAAGTCAATTTCTTGCATGCATTTCTCCGCGTGATTACTTTGTACGTATTGTGATTTTAAGAATTCGTTAATCATAGACATATTAACTGCAAAATGTGTTGTGTGGCCAAAAACGTTCGTCCATTTTTCATCATGGATCAAACCAATGTCTGAACTGGTACATCATGGTAATCTGTACTGATGTTGATGGGCCGTGGAATTTTCGGGCAAATTCCATGTTTTTCTCCATGCAGGGATAGTTTAACCTCCACGGACGTGTTTTGAAGTTGGTCTAGATGTCGGTTTTGTGAATCAGCGAGCAGAAGTTTTGAGAGGCTATTAGACTAGACGCCATTAGCAAAGTCCCGGGCCATCCTCATGGGAGCAAAGTTTCAGTCCACTTTGAAGTGTCGCGTGGCCAATTTAGAATTCAGACAGGCAAAACATCATCAGAGCATCTTTACAAAGACTAGATCCCTAGGCATCACGTAGGTGAAAAGTTTGGATGCATGAGACTCCGTAACAATGTGGAAATTCGCGACCAAGATTGTAATTGCTTTTTTCCTCGTAATGCGACAAATGTGCCGTTTCTGTCGTTACCATTGTCATCAGCATAGAGGCTGCTTGTTTTCTTGGTGTTTCAGTGCGTATACTTGTAGTCGATTTCATCTGCTTCGAGCCCTCCCCTTATCATTCGTGTCTTGCACAGATCTGGAGTCTGAAGACCGCCGCCTGTTACTACACCCTCGTGCGACCGGGCACGCGTCCGGGAGCCGAGTTTTGGACCACTCCGGTCACCAGTCTCCATCTAGACGTGCAGCGTCGACGCCTTTTTGTATCGCATCATGATGGTCGCATTTGTGTGTGGCGTATTCCTCACTCTCCTCCAGCTCTGCAGCCTGCTATGGTGGACAAGTTGTCGTCAACGACGACGCTGAATTGGGAACGTCCCAAACTGCTAGAACAGCTGTGCGTAGAAGCTGAAAATGCACAATCGACGGGTGCGGTGATTCGATGCCTGGCAGGAGACGGATGGCATCTGCTATGTGGTTGTGACGATCAGACTATCAAGGTAGATTTCCGCCTCATTCATAACTGGTCGTTTCTTGTGTCTGGTTACTTGAGTGGTTAACTGTCCATATTTGGTTTTGGTAGCTTGTCAAACCCTCGTTAAGGCATTTTGTTCTTTTCCTATATGATTCCGTATTGCGTCATTGTTCCTTTCATTGCATCCGAAATGTGTGTGTGGATAAGATGGATGCTTTGATGGTGGAGGAGCCATTTTGGTATACTTCGATGGGGGCGAGTAATGCCTTCATGGAAGGAGTAGGGATTTGTTGTGTTCAGTGGCCATGGCATTTAATGGACGTATAAACTCCGTTCCGCCATATTACTCCCTGTATTAAGTGAACGAGCATATTCCTCACTGGTTTCCTCCAAAACACTCATTTACCACCCAAACCTCACTCCTAAGATCGTGTGGGGTAAACTTCGGACAAATCCAATTGCTGCTCAGATTTATCCACTTGATAGTTGGCGAGAAAGCACTGGTATTTCCTTGCAAGTATGTTCCATTCTCGGAAGAAAACACTACACGGCGTCTTACACCTTTCCAAAGACGATGAGTGAGAGGGTGTACAGTGGGGATGTTTTCCGTGCATAGGCACTTTTCCGCACTCGTTTTTTTTTTCTGGAAAGTAGTAGTGGTGATTAGTCATTTCTGGGTGTGCCTTGTGACAACCTCACCCTGACAAATCAGTTGCTCCTCCATTTTGGGACAGAAGTACCCACTCTGAGCCTATACAGCTGATTGGCAAAGAACATAGCACTGGTCGGGAGGGTGTTTCGTCATTGTTGGGTATTGGGACCGGAATGCGTTTCTGCGGTACGCAGTGTTGTCTCCACATGCGCACGAGTGCCCAGTGTGGGGAGAAAACAAACGTTTGAAAATGATGGTCGAAGGTCATCAAGGGGTAAGGGGGTCCACCCGACCACCCAGCCATAACCTGAGAAATGAAGAAAGTGGCTACAGATTGCCTGACTGATTGATTAATCCCTCTGACTCCTCATCCACGATAGTCGTATACTTTCTCTAAAGAATTGAGAATCTCCAGCTTTCACTTCGTGCTCATCTGATACGTGTCATATTTCAAATCATTGCGGTGAGTGGGAAACATTGTGTTGCCATTCTCCCACCTAGGTATGGCGTGCCGACACGAACACACCGATTGGGTGCCTACGCGGTCACGAGGACGGGGTCACTTGCCTCCTCATCTACGGTTCCGTGGTGATCTCTGGCTCTTACGACAAAAATGTCATCCTCTACGACTTTGATGTCAGTTAGCCTCGCACTGGACACCCCTCCCCCTACCCCTCCACCTTTCCCTCCACGACTTGACTTTTGCTTCTCTCCTTTCTTTGGCCATGCTGTGGATATGCTTTGTGCATTTTGTCGTTTGTACTGTCCTCGTCTAGGCATATTTGGCAGAGACTGAATGAACACGTTTGCAGTTTCTTGTTTTTTATGAAGTTCCGTCGTTTTCCTTTTAATGATTGTAGGGATGATTGTATAACAACCTGTCATTTGCTATGTACCTGGCAGATAACAGAAGAAAATACAATTGATATCCTTCATAGCGGAGGCGTTGTTACGTAGAACGAATGTACCGAAATTGGATGATTCAAATCACGCAGAAATCAGGAAGCCTGATCGGTTTTCCCTCACCGAAGCAATATTCGTCCAGCAAATGAATGCTTCCCTTTAGGTGGATTGCGTCGACAAGCCTGATGTAAGCATGTTCCATCTCCCAGGTCAAGAACGCAACATTGTTCGTGCCTTTTTTTAGTAATCGAGCACAAATA